TTTTTTTCCGGTACCGGGAACCGAACTCACGACCTTGCGCTTGCCAGGCAGGCGCTTTTGCCGCTGAGCTAAATCCCCAGCCCCTGTCTGTCTCTTTTAGTTGGTGTACAAGTACTCTGAAAATGGGCTTGTCTGACTTGTTCATTGCTATAGGAACAAAGCCTGGAGGAACATAGTAGGTACTCAGCATTTGCTTAAGAAGTGAAATACCAACCTGATGCACTCTCTACACTAGAAATCCTAGCAATGGTTGTAAGAAACCAAATATTATTTATACATAAGCCTACCCTTAGCCACAGGGTTTGTAATGTTTTTAACAAGTGAAGAAAAATACTAATCATAGAATTTTAGGGGAAAGACTCTTGGGGGGGGAGTTACACAGAAATCTGTCTTACAATTTATCCCTTTGTAACTCAGTGTCATGGCTTAGCAATCTGCCTGATATTGAGTAATTCTTATTCTCCCTAAATCTTTTTCTTGTATAAATGAAGATAAGATGGTCTCTAAATATGGTGGGACTAAGTACAATAATGCACATATAGCAGTTGACTCAGGCACAGAGACAAAATAAGTCCTAGACAGAAGTTAATATTGCGATTGTTACTATTGTTCGTGGTCCATTTAGCTCTGTGGAGTCACCACAGGTGACTCCAGGTACTTTTATGCAATGGAGTATTACTCAGCTACCTGGAGTATTACTCAGGTACTTTTATACAATGGAGTATTACTCAGCTATAAAAAAGATGAACTAGAGGCTTTTATAGGTAAATGGTTGCAACTAGAGACCATACTCATAAGTGAAATAAATCAGACCTGCATGTGCAAGCACCGCATTGTCTCCCTAGTGTAGGAACCTGAAAAAGCAAATAAAATCCAAAAGGTACAATAGATACTGTGAAAGGGAAAGAAACTGCTCAAAGGGAAGGAACAAGTGAGATGAGGGAAAGGAGAAAAGAAACAAAGAAGGAAGGGGAAAGTGTATGTATGTATATGCACAAAATAGCTGGGACAAGTCTCCTGCTGTTTCCTACTGGTCTATTGAAAGGAACAGTTAATGCTTAAATTTTTTTTCCTCTTTAATTTTTTTCTTATTTTTTGAACAATTTTGCATGCTTACATCTGGTAATCTCAACAAATAATTTGAAGGCAATAATATGCAATATAACAAACATTGTTGAATTCCTATCATCTTATTTAGTGAAATTCTGAAAAAAAGAGACAGACAATAAGTGAGTCAATAAATGAGGGCGCTGTGTGAGCTGGGGTAAGCAGAGTGGACATCTCCAAGGAAGGAACATTTGAGTTGAGCCTAAAGGAGGAGGTGCAGAGAGTTTTTCTAGAAGAGAAAAGAACTAGTTCCAAGGGCCCCTAGTTGACAGTAGATTGGTGCCTTCTAGAGCAGAGGGAAGGCTGTTGGGGCTGGTGGTGGTAGGAAGCAGGCCTTATTCATGTAGAACCTTATAGACCCAAGGTGAGAGTCTTAGAGAAACAGCTTTGAAGCAGTGTACTAACGTGATCAGATTCACCAGGTTAAAGCTCCCTGTGCTTGCTAGAGGAGTAGAGGAGAAAATAAGCAATAGATGAAAAGTCACAGAAACTCTCCTAGATGGCCCAGCAGGACTGATAAGAATACATAGATAAGACTTGAGATATAATTTAAAAGCTAAGCCAGCAGGAAACTGGACCAGCAAGTATGGGGTGAGGGAAAGATGTGAACCCAGGATGATTTTTGAATTTTGACATGAAAAAGGGGACATACTTGGGGGAAGGATCGTACTGTATAACCAGTAAGGAACACAGAGAAGGCACAGATTTAGGAAATGGAGTTGGAGCATATACAGAGTGGTTTGGATGGGTGAAGCGTAAGATGCCTTAGACATCCAAGCTGAGGTGCTGAGGCATGCCTGGCCTAGAGTTTGAGAAGTGGTCAGCCATTTAAATCATTCCATTCTAGGAGGGTCTTCTGTTGTTGTTTTTGTTTTTTTTAGGAGTTCTGGTTCTTATGGAAACTTTTAGTATTTTAGAAGCATTTTGTGGTGGAGCTATCTTTGATCCTTGAGCTGGATATTGGAGAACATGCTGGAGCATGCTGAGATTTCTCATATCCCCACTGGGAAAGGCACATTCTCGTGATGAGCAGATGGGAATTCTCCGCAGCTCTACTGACTGCACTGTAGTGGAATATTCCAAAAAAGCTGTCTTGACACGGGCAACCGTGTTTATGCATAGCCTGTTTATTAAGTCTGACATAGATCTTTATGTTGTTCCCGGTGGAGTTCAGCACAGTAATTAAGATTTAACAAATTGTTCATCATGTTCACATTTAAAAGATTCCTGAAACTAGTCCAGCCGTGACCATGGCGGGTGTCTGTGTATGTGTCTTGTACATTAAAATTGGACCCCGTTGTCCCTTTACTATATACAAGTGGTCAGTTAGAGCATGGTCCCTGGGGACAGCTGGTAGGTCATAAATCAGAGCGCTACAAAGAAAAGGAGATGGATGGTGACTCAGTGTGGAAAAACTTATAAGGCAGACCCCACTTATTTATGATGCTTGGATTAGCTTCCCCAGCTGAACTGCCCCTGGCTTATGATCTACTTCCCTTTTTAATTCCAGTTTCCGAAGTCACTTTTGCTGTATACTGTCAAAAGCGCATTTCATCTACTCAAACACTAGGACAAGCTCTTGTGCTCCTGAATCTATTATATCTCTAAGTATCCTTGTGTTTCTAGTATCTTCTGCATTCTGCTCCATTAGCAAGTCTGGTCATGTTTACTTTTTTTGGTAAGGGCTGTTTCCCTAGATTCCCAGGAGTTGGGCTCATGGCTGAGTGCCTCTGATTAGATGGGATCTTCGGCTTCCCCAATATGATGTCTTCTCACCAGATGTCACACCCGCAGTGCCTGGCTGTACAGAAGCCTGAGATGGTAGGTCTGCAGGTCAGCTTTTCAGATGCTTTCAGGCCCAAACATGCTCAGGAAAAACCAGTCTTTTCTCCTCTCTGCAATTTAGCAGTCATGTGACTATGAGCATGTTACTCAGTTTCTCTAAGCCTCTGTTTTCTTCGCTGTAAAATGGGGACAAATATACACTACCTCTAATATTTAAATTAGATATAATAATACTTGTAAAGCATTTAGCAGAGCACTGCAGTAGAGGTGAGCCTATAACACATATGTTATCTGTTTTTCTTTTAAGATAAAAGATGTTAACGTATGAGTTTTTTCTAAACTAAAACCTCAGTATTTGGGTTTAATTGCATTGTTGGTACTTTGTGATAAAGAAGTGGATTTTGGGTTGCAATTTGGGTGCTCGTCTCTAAAAGGTTCACCATCCCTGACGTAAGGCTTAAAAAAAATTTAAAAATTTAAAAAAATGTAATTCCCCTCCAAGCCCTCTTGTGTCTTTTATTCATCAGGAGACAATAACCACGTACTCTGAAAACACACCTGCCAGGAGGTGGCTATTGGCAAAGACCGTTCAAACTGACTAAAAACTAAAAGGGAAATTTATGCACTTAAGGCAATCTGGAGAAAAGGAGTGTAGGAGTTCTCACAGTGTGGTTCCTGGGCTCACAGTACCTGATTCGCTTGCTGGTTAGAAATATAGATTCTCAAAGTCCCCGACTTGGAACCCTGGGGGAAGGGCTGGGCAGTCTATGTTTTAACAAGCCGTGTGGGTCGTTTTGGTACACACTAAAGTTTCAGAACCAGGGGTCCAAGTTAGACACAACAGGCACCGAATCTGGAATAATGATGCACGTCTCTGTGCGTGTTGTATATGCACACCCAAGTGGATAGAATATCTGTAACTGCCAAAACTGTTAACCAAACATGATGATATCAGCAAAGCCTTGCTAAACTGGTGATGAATAATTATCCATTTTTCTTTAGTACTGTTGTCTGACTAGAAGTACATCTAGAATATTTATTTTCAATGATTTTGTGCTAAATTCATTTGAGGTTTTAAAAAAAGAAACTAACCCATCAACTTTTTTCTTCCTTTTTCTAGGAAATTCCACTTACTTGGATGACCACGGACCCCCTCCTAGTAAGGTAAGGCCGATAATTGTAGTGTTAGTTTCCTATTCTTCCCTTAGTTTTTTATAGTTCCTGGGCTTCCATCAACCCTGACCAGATCCCCCCTGGCCCTGAATCATTTACAAGAAAACAGAAGATGACAGATGTCAAATGAATCTTCTCTGATGAGAAGGAAGGGGCGGAACATGAAGAGAGCCCAAGTGACAAAGGGGGAGAGCCATTACTTAACCCGTGCTGTGATTGCGCAGGCATCATGGTGCAGACTCACTGCAGACCTTGGCCAGCTTCTGTTTGCTGCTTCCTTTCCCTGTGTGTCGGTGCTGGCTCACATTGCGGGACCCACTGCCCGATCTCCCCAAGCCCTTGTGCCTTGCAGCAACACTCACTCTTATCCTACTCACCCTGGCCAGCCTGGGTGGGATCCTTTGCCCAAGGCCTGGCCAGTGCCCTCTCAAGCTGCCCTGGCCTGATCTGTGCCCACTTTTGTTTCACCTGTAGGTAATTCTGCTTGACTTTTAAGGGGTTGGACAGTCCATTAGTGTAATTTCCCCACCACTCCCTACTTCTTTGGCTTGATGGGAACCTAACACCAATCGAATGAATCTTGAACAAAATAGGACAAAATGATCACTGTACAGAGAAAATGCGTGTAATGCAATGGACTCCTTTTACTCTAGACTTATGGCTTTTGTACTTTTTTAACATCAGGTTTTTTTCCCCTTGTAGTGATATTTCATTAATATTTGGGACAATAGGTTGTGCTTTGCAAAATGAAAATGTTTCTGTCAGTCTCTCTCTCTATATATATATGTCTTATTTTAAGAATTTTCTATCCATCCCATGAAAGCCTAGCTCTCCCACTACTTGATTTACTTAGTCATCAATTGCTAAAGGCAATGCCTATATCATGCAGTTGTAAAAATATGGTGAGAAGATAATTAGCAACCAACCTGAGAGGCTTTGGGACATTTACCTGTAAGACAGTTTACACCTCTAGTCCCTTTATGACCATGAACCTTGGAAGAAGGTATTTTGGAATGTGACACTGCTCTGCCACTTTGTAGCTGCATAGCATCAGAAAAATTACTTATTATTCTGATCCTCAGATGTTCTTTTGCACGGTGGGACTAAAAATGTTCCCCACAGCACAGGGTAGTTGTTGAAAGGACAGAATGAGCTGACTGATGTATGGGGGACACTCAGCAATGACGTGTGAGAAATAGTAAATCAGCAGTGGCTGGTGCCTCCTTGACTTGGGTGACGTTAAGATTGTTGATGAATCGCATGGGTTTGTGAATGACCCCATCATCTAATCCACTGCATCCTTATTGAGTGCCTGTGATGCTGCAGAAGCAGACATTAGAAATAAAAATAAGAAAGGAGAAGAACAACAAAAATAACTCCTCTCCTAGAGGAGCAGAAGAATATAGAGGATTAGGGGCACTCTGACGGTGAGGACCGTGCCTGTTATGCGTCTGCACAACCTTGCATCAACCTCACTGCACAGAGAGGCACATCACATCGTGGCTCTGTATTGAATCTCTCTGACTGGGACCACAGAATCCAGGGCTGGAATCTGAATGAGGTCTTATGGCTCTTATCCTGGGTTCTTTCCACCAAGCCTGTACTGTCAAACTTGAACTTCCACAAGAATCACCCAGAGACTTATCAAGAGGCAAATTGCTGGGCCCTGTCCCTAGAGTGTCTGATTTCCATGGTCCAGGGCAGGACCCAAAAACTCGCATTTCTAACAAGCACCTAGAGGCTGGGATCTTTGAGAACCGCTGCTATAAAGGCCATGAAAAGAAAGAAAACCATTTCCTGCCATTTTCTGCATCGCTTTCACTGTTAATAGCATAGAGGGACATGGCTTATTATATAAAGGTTACTTATTAATATAATAATGACTCACCATCATTAAATTTTCCTTAACAAAAGCATTTTTTTTTTTTTTTTTTTTTGTTAATTATCCGCCTACGAGGGAAAATAGTGGGGGAAAGAATGGTGCAGATGACTTTCTGGGTTTTCTTGCCACTAACTAACACCACTAACTTCCCTTGGAGGTGGCCAGGGAAGCCTTCAGTTGCCCTTGCCATGATGTCAGAGAAGGAGGATTAGAGCTCTGTCTAGGGGACTCATCAACTATTTTCCTCCGTGGCTGGTGGGGATATTACTTTGGCCTCCAGGTTTAATACAAAGGGTTTTCTCTGGTACGAAGACCCAAGACTGCTTGATACGAACTTGGCTTTTGGAACTTTTCCTTGCTGGCTGGCCTAGGCCAGCCTTTCAGTCTGCTTGCTGGCCTTGCTGAAGCTGGGCTGGCCCACCTGCCTCTCGTCAGTGTCCCCAGAGCCTGGATTTGGTGTAGCTCGGACCCACTGCTCTCCTTCCTGTAAGATTCCCTAGCTGTGCATCCCCCCCTGGGCCCTGCAGTCCTGTCTCTCACTCCACCTCACCCATCCCAGCTAAAGCTCCCTGTGATCCAGAGTAGCAATCACATTATTTTAGGCCACTTTCAGAGTAAAACCAGTGTTGTGAACTCTTGTCTAAGTTTCAGTCTTGTGAATGTAATCTCTCTGAACCAGTAGAAATTTCTCTAATACAGGTTCTTTTTTAATTTTTTTTTTTTATTTTGAAGGAAAAGAAAACAAAATAATAGCAACCAAGACAAAAGCAAAACACAAAAACAATAAAAATGATACAGAATTTCAAAACAAGGTGATAGAAAGTTAACAGTGGTCCTTATATTACATATTGTTATCCTCAACGAAGTTGCTCAGATTACTAGATGTAAGAATGCAAGATTGATCAAACAATTAAAGAGAATGCAAAATAATAACAAACATTAGAAATGATACAGAGTTTCACTAGGGTGCTCGCTTTGACAGATTCTTTTGCTATAGCTCCCTGTTCATTATCTAGGAGTAGAGTAGCAACACAGTCCCTGAGTTTTTAAGCAGAGGCTGTAAGAAGAATATAAAAACAGGTAAAAATAATAGTGGTACCCGGACATCTTTTCATTCATGCTTCTGATTTCTAGCAGGGTGAAACTGAATTCCAGAAGTGGTGAGATCAGGTTTCCAGATAACAGTTCGTGGCGTGTCTCGGGTGGGACCCTGGTGGTCTGGGTCTGCAGACCACTGGCCTAGGCACAGACACAGTGGCATCCAGAAGATTAGGACTCACACACATCTGGCCTCGAGAGAGATCCCAGCCTGCCAGGAGAAAATAAGGCCCAGGCCAGACCCATGTTTTTTGTATTTGTTTAGCACTCAGAAATAACTTTCGATGCCAAGACTGAAAGAGTTGTGATCTAGATAGAAATAAGAGTTTTAAGCCCTGAAAATATACTGAGCTTAGAGAACAATCTTATTTTATTAAAAGTTCAATTCCACAAGTTTCACATTCCATGAGCAACAGCCATTTAGGGAATGGGGTAGGTCACACAGCACATACTGAGCCCAGCTCCCCATTCTCACCGGTAATTTCATAAGAGAAAAAAATTGCCGTTGTTTTTGAAATCCACTTGGACTGCATAGCTCACCTCAGTTTCTGTGCAAAGCTGTTATTCAAAGGTAGATATTCGTGTTTTCTTTTAACTGCCACTATGTCCCTACTAAAAATTAACATATAGATCTCTTTTGACTAAAGTAGAGAGATACTCTTGAATACCAAATTGACTATAAAATACCAATGATGGTATGATAGTGCTTTTTGTGAAATTATATGCGTGTGTGCATAGCTACAGAGAAAAGCCTGGAAGGTTAATAGTGTGTACTCTGGGTAGTAAGATTTCTGACTTTTAGCTTTTCCTGGTACTTTTTTGTATAATTTGAGTTCATTAAAGTCATGCCTGTTAAATCTAAAAATCAGAGAAAGCAATTTCCTGGTGTAAGAAATTAAAATTGGATTTAAAAGTTGGCAGTGTCCACAGCCTCCCGCACAGCCTGCCCATTGAGAACTTGACATCTTCCTCTCCTTAACTTTACTTCCCCTGGAATGTGACTACCTGGTGGGAGCAGCAGGCATCAGTGATAAATTGGTGATAAATTGGTATGGTTATCATTTCACATGTATTAGGTTCCCACACCTGATAGATAAGCAGAGCTGTTCTAAGCAATTCAGGGATAATAAAATCACCATGCATAGCTGATATGTATTTTTTTTTCTTTCTTCCAAGCACTATGTTAAGCACTTCACAAGCAAAATTTACTCTCAATAAGACTCTATGAAAGAGGAAGTAATTTTTAATCCTTATTTTACAGATGAGGGAACTGGATCTTAAGGAGGCTGACTAATTTGCCAAAGGTCATGCACGAAGTATTAGACTTGGGCTTCCAGCCCAGGGCTATAGAGCTCCAGGGCCCACACTTTTAACCTTTTGTTTGCTTTTCCTCGGCACTAGGGTTCAGACCCAAGGACCTGTACGTGCTAGGCAAGTGCTCTAGCATTGAAGTACACTCCTAGCTCCTAACCATTTCAAGATGACAAATTTAAATGGAAATACATTTTTACCTTATTGCTGGAATTTTACATTTTTAAATAAGAACCTGGTACACTGATTAATATACACATGAATTTAGCCACCAACATTCCAGGAAAAAAATTAGTCATCATCGTTTACTGTCTGAGTCCAATGGACTCTTCAGTTTTTAAAATCTGTTCTTTCACTTCTACTTTATCTGTTTCTTTCCAGGCACCTGTGTATGCAAACCTATTTTTACAATTTGTCCATTTTCAAGCTGTATATAAAGTAAAATTTTGGTAGCCAAATATCACAAAAGGTAAAAACAACACTATCCCACATTAATTTAGCAAAAGGAGATAGGGCAGGTTCTTCTCACAAACTTCTTCTTCAGTGACGCATAAGAATACCATATTTTCTTTTCGTCTATATGAATGTATTGTCCATCTGTAGATTCTTGAGTCTGAAAGAGTGTGGGATATCATCACCTGAAGATTTACAGTTTGAGGTTTCATGTCCATGGTCAAGTTCATTATCACTATTCTTGAGT